AAGGCCTTGCATTAGCAAAAGTTCTCTCTTCTCACGTTGACTTTAACATGAATGAACACGTAATCTAGAAATGATAGAGTTTCATGATCTTTCTTGCCCTCATGAACATATTTATCTAATCACTTAATCCTTTCACAGAGGATAGAATGGTAATACAAAGTCTTGGGACGGAAATACATCCCTGAAGAACTTTGTCTAACTACGGTTGGTTATCTGCATTGTATATAATTCTCCCTAGCGAAAAAAAAAAAAAAAAACGATTTGTTTCAAGGGGGTCGGCATAATCATACTTCTCCCCCCCCCCCCAACTCCACGTCCACAAACCCCTGTAACGCTTCTATAGCCATAACAAGGAACGTGAATGCATTCATCCCATGCTAGACTGATATGATTCATATTCATATTAATCTGTTCACAAAGACCAACGGACCACATCCTTTGTCAAAGCTCCTACATTATGTGTTTGGGGGAGGAATTTGTTTGCAAATTGTTGCCAAGTGAGCATCAGTTTGACGTGGAATGGTATACAAATAGACGCCATTTTGATTGGCGCCTGATACACATGTTACACGAGGTTGGATGAATTGTGCTTCTTCAAACAGTTTCAATCATAAAAAGAGCGTCTAGATGATCAGCTTTCTTTCTGACTTCACATTACGAAGATTTTAATTGCAACATACCGGTATTAAGGTGAGCTTTACGCTGCTTGTAATATAGGTCATTTTGCTGTGAAAATTTCGGTTTCATACAAGGAAGTTGATGAAACAGGGGTATTTATGCGGGATGCGGTATGTTTATCTTATCTGGAGGAAGAAATATGAGAATACATAGTTAAATTTGTGGATAGCAACCTGTCTTTTTTGTTCATTTGCTTTACTTCTCACAAAACTGATAAATCAGGATAATTCCTGGCAACGAAATGACTGATTCAAATGTTTTTCTCACTTTTTCACAATATTTTAAGAATATAGACGATATATTTGTTGGTGTTTGTTGGTGTGAGGCTTTCACCACCAACAAATGTCTATTTGTACAAGAATTGGAAAACAAATAATATGATGCATTTTGGATAATGGTGACGTGAAATAAAGAAACGAAGACACTCGGAGGGAAAATAAAGATGGAAAAGAAGTTTCAAGTTGCGGGTTCGTCAAAATATGTTAAGATGAGGTAGGGGTATTGACAGGGATAGTGTGAAAGGAAGTGACAACAAGGGAGTGGGAGATAGAGAGGAAGACAGAGAGGGAGAAAGAAATTGGGGAAGAAAGGAATTGATAGAGAAAAATAAAGAGAGAGAAGGGGAGAGAGGGAGAGAGAAAGTTGGGAAGAAAGGAACGATAGGAAAAGAGAGAGAAGGAGAGATAGAGAGAGAAAGAGAGCAGGAAGAGACAACAAATAACATATACTTATAATGATTTAATGTTTGCACTTTTATAGCATTGGTCCAGCCAATGAGGGGGCTTCGGTGAAATAGGAGGTGAAAAAGAAAGGTAAGGATGCGCAACACGCACTTATACATGCCATTTAAAGTTAAATGCCCATGCATGTAATTCTCAAATATGATTGCAGTAAGAATCTTGAAATGAGTTGAACAGCGAATACTCAAGGAACACCATTAGTGCAAAGAAATGAAATAACATACAAACACTACACACACACATGTAATTAAATAAAGAGAACAATTGATTTGAGCCAAATCAAACAGATACTAGGTTTACAAAATATTATTGACCAAAGTCAATAACACATGACAGGTATGAATAAACATCACCCCTCGCCCTCCATCCCTTTCAAAAAAGGTACTACTGTCACGGACAGGTGCCACGTTTGGGCCAAAGATAACACAGTCAATAACACCTTATCAAAACAAATATATACATCTATCTGAGATATCGATTTCGTTCTTTGAACTCCAAAATGATAAGCATATTTATTCATCGCTATATTTACAACGGCCAATATATCAAAATACATATACCTTATCAGCTATCATATCACATGAGGGAAAACAGTATTTACTTTCAAGTTGAAAAATAACCTCATGAGATAAGACTAGGTGGTACTCGGTTGATTTCATAAATACAATTATCATTTTACATCACAAGGATTGAGAAAAGGTTTAAATGTCTCCTCGCCTACAACGCAGTGTACCTTTTCCTTTGATATTTATTTTATCATAGTTTTCCTCAACCTTAAACAACAGAATACTTCTCTACAATACTGTGAGTATCATATTGACCATATACTGTATGAGTATATTATATTGACAGAATGGTTTCACTATGTTTTAATGTAACACTACGTTGTAAAATGCGTCATAATAATATTATTGATTTAACCATTGGCGTAGCTAAGGACTGGGAAGGACGGCACTTGGATAAGAGATGACGAAAAGAGGGGGAGGGGGGGGGGGGATTCATGAGATCTTATGTTTGATCCTATGTTTGACCCCTTGTATGTATGTTTGATCTCACTCTTATCTTATTTTTTTATTATTATATATGCATGATTTATTGAATAAAGAACAGATGTATAATTTGTGTGTTTATTATAAGTTTTGGTAAATAATTGTTTAGTCAGAATATGATGCGCTTAGAGACACCAGTATTAAGCGCCTTATAAATATTGTGTATTATTATTATCATTATGGGATCATACAGGGCGAAAGATTTAATACTTGAAAATACTCTCAGCAAAGTAAACTATTAAGTGAATCAGCAGGAGGTTCATTAAATGAGTATCAAACAATTATTTGCGTCCTTTATGAAGCATACAGCTTCGCTTTAAAATGCACAATTTGTCCTCTCTAAAGGGACAATGTGTATATCCCTTCCCGAACTTTGACAAGCCAATGTTTTATGTTTGCACATACCTGACTTGACTACCTTGACTACAGAAATTCCCATGTAACGTTTTTTTTTAACATCACGATGAATGTAAATGCCTTCATCCTACGCTAGACGGCTATGATTCATATTCATAATAGTGTATTCACAAAGAGCAACAGAGCAAATCGTTTGTCAACGCTCATACATTGTGTGTTTGGGGGACAATTTCTTGTTTTTTCTGCTTGTATTGCAATATTAATGCACTGTATGCATACAGGCTGTGTGTGAAGAGTGCCCATACATTTGTGAGCAAATCGAGTCAGTGGCAAGTGATCATCAGTTTCACGTAGGCTGGCATACAGTTAGACGCCATCTTGATTTGCACCTAATACAAACATTACAAGAGGTGATTTACTTTTCTTCTTCAAACAGTATCAATTATAAAAGGAACATCTACAAGATCAACTTTCTTTCTGACTTGACATTACGGAGGTGAATTTCGCAAGAACTGATAATTAAGGTAAGCTGTACATTTTCGGTTTAACTTGGAGTGGACTTTAAAAGATGATTATTATTATTATGATTGTATGTAGGTTATCAAGAAAGTGTCTTGACAAGGAATGGAAGGTGCAACACAAATGGCAGGTGAAAGAGTTGCATGGCGTGCTCTCGTGAAGACCACAGCAGCGCTTTACAGCGCCACCTGAAGTTGATAATGATGATGATGGTGTAGGTTATTTTGCTGTGAACAAGGTTAGGGCCATATAAGAAAGTGGATGAGAAAGGGTACTTAGGCAATAACAGGAAACAGGTTCATGCATCTGGAATGGGTATGTGTTTTTTATCTGGAAAAAGAAAGATGAGAATACAAAAGAAAAATCCACTTATAAGAAAGTTTTCAGATAGTTTACAGCCTAGAACATGAATACAAATATGAGCGACATCTTCTTCTACTGTATATTCCCTATCTATTTCGTCTCTTCTCCATTTCTCACTGCCTGAATTTTGTCTTGATTCGGGCAGCATGGTTCCAATATATTACATTATTTATTTCATATCTATATCGAAATGGCAACAGGATGAATGAATATATCATATGGATAGTATCCTTTTTAGACAAGAGGCTCTCACACGGCTCTCACACTTAAATGTGCCCGTACACCTACATGTATGTATGTGCACGAGGAATGAAAATTAGTTCCTTTGATGATTTGTTTAAATAGGGTGACGTGAAAATCCTAAAGGGGTGCCGCAAATTAAAAGAGCTAAAAAAATGCTTATCTCGTAGACAAAAGACTGGTGCACCCCTCCTCCCCTCAATTTTTGAGTCCACAATATGCTACTGGATTTATGCACTTTTTTTTAGGTCACCTTTTCCTTGCAGCTGCATACATTGCTCGGCCACTAGGAAATATTACTTTTTAAAAAGAGAACGCTCTATTATTCACAATCAAATAGTTATGTAAACAACAAGATGAACATTTCAATTTGCTTTAATTATTATTAATTGCAATGATTTGTGCAAACCATAAAATAGATATATATATATATATATATATATATATATATATATATATATATATTAAATAGGGATACAATTCTAGTCATGATAATGCTGTAGAAAGTACTATTTGTTTTGCAAAGCATGTGAAATAGAGTTTCAATATGGACACTAAAAATGAAAGAAACTATTATATTTACGTAAATTTACTATGATATGCTCTCAGTGTATTTTTGTTAATGTAAATTTTATTTAAAGACCATAGAACTGTTTGAATACATGGATGAGAAGAACAGTACGTGACCTTTCATAGGTACTCAAAAGCAAATATATCGCATGAAATACGTTCACTGGTATTCTTTTGATTTCAAACATTTATACTGACATTTTACTAATGGAGTTCATTGTAATAAATCAAGTCAATTCACTTCTTCCCGTTCGATCCCTCCCTTCTCCCCTCCTTCTCTCTCCCTTCATCCATCCGTCCTACCCCTTATTCTCCCCACCCCTTTTTTTCTCTCTCTCCATTTCCTCCTCCACCCTCTCTCCCCGTCTCTATCTCACAATGCCTCTTTCTCCCCATCTCTGTCTATATTTCTCTATCTCTCTTTCTCTCTCTCTCTCTCTCTTTCTCTCTCTATTTGTGTATACAGGTCAATACTCTGATCAGGATGGCGGCGAACTTCAGCTCTGCAGAAGACATTTGTGAAGGAGAGAACTGTGGATCCATCACAGATGTGACGTACTACATTAAGGAAAAGAAGAAGCTCTGCGAGGACTGCGCCTCCAAAGAGGGATGCATCGGAAAAGCAAGAAAGGGTGGGTCCAATCTTTATTGTGAGAAGCATGATGAAGAAATCAAACTGTATTGTAAAACACATGGCGTACCACTGTGTTATTCATGCGCAATGAAAGACCATCAGCAGCCTTGCGTTCAACAGGATATAGAGGGCGCCATCGTGGAATGTAAAGCGAGTCTAATCACTCTAAAGGAAAAAGCGAATGAAAAGTTAAAGCTTTGTCGAGTTTATGGAGATCAGATTCGTCAGTGTAGAATTGACACCGACACCCATCTACAAGCTTTGAAAGATGAAATTGATTTGGTATTCAATGAGGCGATTCAAGCAGACAAAGAAAGAGAGAAGGAAGATGCCGCGAAAATCAACCAGGAAATTGATGAAAAGAATCAGAAACTTCAAGAGGAGATTCAAAAGATGAATGACAAGATTCAAAGGAATGAGGAGGAGAGAGAGATGCGACATGAACTTCACTTGGCAAATTTAGACAACAAGGCGAGAACCCATCGACAATAAACAACATGGTTTTCAAACAAACATTAAGAGCATCGCTGAAGAGAAGAAAGAAAGATGGGGCAGTTGGAGAAATCTTGGCAAGATGCACTTTAAATATGACGAACAAAGAAAGCGGACAAAATATACAGTTCCTCAGGTAGACAAAGGAACATCCCTTCACTGCTATTATGTAAAAAGGTGAATATGCATGTGACAACCTGTTCTACACATTTTTACATAATAGCAGTGAATGGATGTTCCTTTGTTTACCTGAGGAACTGTATATTTTGTCCGCTTTCTTTGTCAGTCATATTCATAGTGATGACACAGCAACCATAAAGAATATAACACAAAACTTGACACAGTACTTAAAGATGATAAAAGTGTCGGTACATCATTCGTTTATAGCCAGAACGGAGTCGAGTCTGAATATGTAATAAGTTACTGCCAGTATGGCTCCAAAAACACAACATGTACACTTTGCACGCTTATATATAGGTTCATGTACATAGCTGTACATATCTGTACATGTATATCATGTATAACATGTATAGGTATATTTGTTTGAACCCGTCGAATTTATTGATCTTTTTTTTCAGCAAGATAAATCAAACCAATTGTGTTTTATAGTCATGAGTGAAAAAGAAATCTATCTACCAATCCTACTACTGAGCACAAAATAAATAATAGACCTTTGTTCTTGGTAATGTCTTTAACAAACCCTTAAAGATAGCATGCTTTAGATTGCATGGCATTGTGATCTATCATGCACAAATATGCATTTTGGATATGTTCTAAACATACATGTTTGTGTAGATTTATAGATGCGATGCTAAAATTATGGATTAAGTTGACAGTTTAGTCATTTAAAATACTCGCAACATGTCAACAGCTTGATTAGACTGAATGTTTATGTATGATTAATTTTGTTGAATTTGTAAATTTGCGTTGAGGCATGCTGATACATGTACTTCTAACAAAAAACTCGGTAGAATGTATGAATAATTTAACAATCAATTAGGTTACAAAGTATCCTTATATATCAACAAATATTTACATTACGAGTAATAGATAAGTACATTGATATATAAACAAATGTGTGTAATATTCAACACTATCGATTTCATAAAGTTGCAATGGAACATGTTAACCTTTGATATGTATTTTGTTGAAAGGCATATTAAGCTACACTATTAAATAAGTTGCAGACTTTTGTCATCTAACATACTCATAACATGTAAATAGCTGCATATAGTACTTTTGCTGGGTAACTTTTGATTTTAGTTTTTATTTTGCTATGAGATATGTTGATATGTGTATCTAACAAGTATTTTCAATAGAATGATTAATATAACAATCAAATGAGCTGCAAAGTCTTGTTATTTGTTACGAAATCGTTCACATTATAAGTATGCTCACAGCATGTACATTTCAACATAATACATAGCATTTCAATTTGTTGTTTATATCAGTTTGCTATGGAATATTTTAATTTGTGTTAGTAGTTTGATCATAGCGATGCTTTGAAAATGAAATCATTTACAGATTTGTTTTTCTAACACACTTACAGCATGTATATAGCTGCATATTACTTACGTTATGCAACATTCGATTTTGTTACGAGATATGTTGATAATATGTATCCCAGATTGGAGAATATGTGTTAGATTGAATAATATATTATGTTAGCTTTAATAATAAAACAATGGAATAGAGCGAAGTACCATCATATATCAAGAAAATATATACATTATGAAAACCCTCATGATACGTACACATCATCATAATATAAAGTATATGTACATTTTTATATTGTTGTTTTTATAATTTCGCTATGGGAAATATCATTCTTCGATACGTAGTTTAATAGAACAGATACAATAATTAAAATATGTGTAATCTTTATAGTTTGTCATCTCTCACAATCATCACAATCCAGATTCTACTGATTACTTGTAACATTTAAACGGTTGATTGTTTTATTTGCTTTGAGGCATGTTGGTACAAACATGTAGCTATCAAACAAATATTCCACACATAATAAAACAATGCTGCAGGGTCCCGAGGATGATGACGATGGTGAGGATGATGGACTACAATGTATTGTATAGCAAGGGTACATTATCAACTATATAAAACAAAAATATTCATTAAAAGCATGCTCATGGAATGTACCTAACAGCATAATTCACTGCATGTGGAAGATTTCACCATGTGCATTATTATATTAGATATGTTGATCTTTTTTCCTTCATCTCGCTCACTCACAATACGAATATCACTGTATATGGTATGCCAGTCCACATATCACTATTCGCACCCACTACTCTCATTTGCTAGTTAAAATTTCATTGTTGTTTGTCTTTTCTTGTTTCTTTTTGTTTGTTTTAGTCGGTGAGGGGTATTCTTTTTTTATTCTATGTACAATATCATATGTATCATTGCATGAGTGTCTCTCTTGTTTGTCATTATGTTAATTTGTTATTTTGCGGGTCTGCGGTAAATAAATAAAAATAAAAATTCTATACAATGAAACAAATCAAACAGCTTTGTTATCTATCAGGAGACCATTCATACTACACAGTAATGAAAATAGCTGTATAGCATAGAGTACCAAAGTACGACGTCATAATGGATAAGTTGTCAAGGTTGGTGGTTCCAAACACTTTTGTGCTAAACGACAGCGTGGTGATCACACAACTTCTAACCGGTAAATTATCCCTGCGCCAGCGCGTTGCTCCAATGATTTGTTGGCTTTATGCTAACAAAACATGTCTTCACTTTTTAATTAATTAGTTGTAATTGTGAGTTTCATCAGAGATTTTTAAATAGCAGGCAATCGGATAGCAAATTATTATTTTTTTTTTAAGTTTGAAGTGATGTTTTTTTTTACAATATTGTAAAAGGGGGTCGGGGCATTGAGAGCGATAGCGGGAAATAATTGCCAAACAGGAGATCTAGCTAGAGAGGGGGTATAGGAGAAAGAGATAGAGAGAGAGAGAGAGAGAGAGATAGAGAGAGAGGAAGAGAGAGAGAGAATGAGAGTATTAAGGAATATACAGATAAAAAGGGAGACAGAGAGAGGGGGAGAGAGAGGGAATATGAAGAGGGAGAAAAAGAAAGCTTCTTATACTATAACGAATCTTGAGAATTGCATGTATGGCATTTTCCTGAATGGCATGTCCCCCCCCCCCCCCTCATTGGCTGGACCCACGTTACAGCAACAGTGCACATATCTTTAGTTATTATTTATACAGTGCGTTCCAAAAAAAAGAAACCGATAATGATCAATGTTTTATCATAAATAATTACAAGTGCAATTAATAAATGACACATATTTGTAAAGCTTAAATCCTCTACTTTCATCTGATGCAACTCATATGTACATATTTCACCCATGATTGATTAAAAACAAGAGAGGGAACCAAAAACTAATTTGGAGATCAGTATCTAAATTAAAAAGAGAAAATGACATTTCTAGAAAATTCATTTTCTGCCCTTTCCTACGATACCTCAATCAGGAAAAATGAGCTAAATAACAAAGTTCTGTTTGTTTAAAGTAATACTTGCATTTCCAAAATTTGATAAAAATGAATTCGATGTTACTGGCTGCCTGCCTGTGCAACAAATACAGTTGACAAAAGACTTAACTACGTTTTGTTGAAGATCAGCCATGCACACGGAAGACGATGGACTTGACGCATGGTTGATCGTCGACAAAACGGAGTTAGATCTTTTGTCAACTCTGTTGGCATCTTAATAAATATAAATATATTCGTTTGATTTTAGACAGCTACGACTCATAATCATATTAATCTTTTCTCTTCGAGCAACGGAGCATATCTTTTGTCAACGCTTCTGCATTGTTTGTTTGAAGGACGATTCCTTTTGTTTCTCTACTTGCCATATTCATGCAATGTTTGCATGCATAAGTGAAAAACGTCCATGAACTTGTGTGCAAATTTGTGCCAAGTGAGTATCAGTTTGACGTGTGATGGCAAAGAAGGAAATGCCATCTTGGTTTGCACCTTATTTTTCTTCTTCAAACATTATACATTATATAAGGAGCATCAAGGAGATCAGCTTTCTTTCTGACTTCACATTACGAAGGTTAAAGTCGCAAGAAACTGGTGGTTAGGGTAAGTTGTACAATTTGATTACAATTTCAATTCAAGGTTGGTTTCCAAAAAAATATAGAAGACAATGATGCACATGATGCACCTAAAAAGCTAAAATGTATGTGTTCACAATTTTCAAGGATACATATAAATAGAAAAGATACATTCACTAAACATATTTACATAATCTTACAATGAAACCATGACAGTTAAAATACTAGTCTGATAAAAAGGCAATTGTTTAAATATAAAAATAAGGACAAAAAATGTTTTTTAAAGAAAAGCTTAGAACAAACAACGATTTTTAAAAAGACGATATCATAGAAATATCGACCGCCTCTCAAAGCAGTTGATATGTCTTTTAAATGCCGACTTGAAACAAAAATCTACCAACATTTCTTACGTTATCCTTTTATTGAGTGAAGATTGGTTTACTTAAAACATAACGAAAAATGTGAAACACTGTCTGTTAATATATAAGATCGAGAAAGTATTAGGTAAAAGGCTATTCGGAAACGATTGATAAGTTTTAGAACAAATCGGTGTCATTCAGTTTGAAGCGCACCCTCGTTTCGTTACATCTCAAAGTTCTTCCTAGAAAACAATTTATTGTTAGGGAATGGATATGCATACTCCCTCCTCCATCCAGTAACGCCTCTAATGAAATCAGAATGAATGTGAATGTATTCATTTGATGTTAGACAGCTACGATTCATATTCATGTTATTCTATTCACAAAGTGCATCACAGCACATCTTTCGTCAACGCTCCTATATTGTGTGTTTGTGGGGCAATGAATTTTTTTTTTCATGTTCTTGTACTGTGTGCATGCATGAGGGGGGATATACCTTATTTATTGTATTCTATATCGATATCAAAATTATGCCATAATTAACTTTCTTT